GGGCCACATGAGTGGCCCTCCATCTCAGTGGGCTGTGAGATTGTCACAACTGACATGGTCTCTCAGATAGCTTCAGGCCTTGCTTCAGGACCTGCAGCTTGGGAGCTTGCTGACCAGGGCTTCCCCAGCCCTGCCCTAAGTCAGGAAACCTCTAGCTTCCCTGGCAGCCAGGTCCCTCCTGCTCCACAGAAAAAGTAAGTTGGTCTCCTCCCCTCCAGGAGCCTTTATTTATACAGCCCGCAGTTGCTAATTGGCTGCTATCAGCTGCAGGGTCTACAGCTTCAGCCCTCTTCCAAGGCTGAGTTTTAACCCTTAAAGGGCCAGCGCAGGGCAGACACCCCGTCACACACACAGTCAATGTTGTGCACAATCAGCGTGCATCTCACCTCACATGCATGTCAATTTAGTTATACTAGTAAGAAAAAAAACGACATGGACAGAAACCAGTGGAATCTGGCAATCTTGCAGGTGGGAAACAGAAAACAAAATGTCTCCCAAGCCACATAGAACCCAGATGGGCTACATGTGGCCCTTGTGCTGCAGGTTGCCCGTCACAAGGCTAGATGGTCTCCAATGTATTCTGCTTTTGTATGCATCCCCATTTCCTACCTTATCACTAAGTAAAACAGCAGGCAACTTTCTTTCTCTACTTTCTTCATCCAGAGGGATAGACGTCCTTTAGATTTGTTTTACATTTATTAGTACAGTCTCAGAGGGGTAGCCACATTAGTCTGTAACTAAAAAAAACCCATAAAAACAATAGTCCTATAGTGCCTTAGAGCCCGTCTACACAGCAGGGCTAAAGCCAAAATAAACTACACAGCTTCAGCTACATCAATTGTATAGCCTAAGTCAAAATAGCTTAACTCAGCTTTTGGCGCTGTCTACACAGCAGGAAGTCCAAGGTAGAGCACTCTTCCTCTGACTTCCCTTACTCCTTATAAAATGAAGGTTACAGGAGTCGGAGTAAGAAGTCCTCTAGCTCACCATTATTTCAACATGTCAAAATAACTGCTGGTAGCATGGAATCGGACTACTTTATTTCAGAATAATGTCAGTTATTCCGAAATAACACTGCTATGTAGACGTACCCTCAGAGACTAACCAAAATATATATAGATAGTATCATGAGCTTTCATGGGCACAACCCATTTCTTCAGATGACGAATATGGAGAGGCACAGAGCTTCAAATAAAAAGCAGAAAAAGAGGGAAGAGAAGGAGGGGGAAAAGCCTGTCAATTAAAGTGTTCATGTTAAATGAGACTAAGAGAGTGGGCTGTAAGTGCCCAATACTTAGCTTTTGATGTCATTTGGGTGTTGAATATAACGACCCATCCAGTTCATGTCTTTGTTTAAGCCGTGAGAGACAGTGTCAAATTTGCAAATGAAGGCCAGTTCCACAGATTCTCTCTCTAGGTGATTCCTGAAATTACTTTGTAAAAGAACAGTTACCTTTAAATCCATTGATGAGTGCCTGGGCAAGTTAAAATGTTCTCCAACAGGTTTCTGTGTGTTACCATTTTGAATATCTGATTTGTGTCCATTAATCATGTAGCATAAGGTCAGAGGAGAGAGTCAACATAACCAGATAATCCTGCTGTAAGTGTGCCACTGCCTGTCCATGCATGTACACAAGTGACATCACAGGACTTACCCACATAAGCCACCCTGTTCCCCACCCCACCTGTTTCTGTGTCATAGGCTCCTTACCACGATTCTGCACAAGATGGTGATTAAATGGAGTGAGGAGTGATTATTTACCAATCCCAGGAACTTCAGCCTTAAAGCCATCCCAAAAAGAAGCATTTAGACAGACCTCATGCCCTCTGTGTTTTGCTGCCCAATGCCATTTCCTTCTCTTATTTCCTAGGAATCTTCATCCTTTACTATTACATGATTACACTCCCACCCCAAAATAAATGTGTCCTCCTCCCTAGGATAGATTTTCCAGCCATCCAGCTCACATTGAGATTCCTTCTGAAGGTTTCTAACTTTCAAGGTTATCTCCAACCCTATTACTCCCAGCCTATCTCTAGTCTGAAAAAGAGGACTCACTAAAACAGTCAGCCCCCTTCCAGCAAGCTTTGAGCTGGTGCCAGGAACAGGTTAGAAGTTGATCTAGAGCCGGATTTAAGGGGCTAGCATATTCTATTTGGGAGTAGTAGAAAAAAGTGTATATCCCTTCGGGGACAAATGAAGGAAGGATTCTGGTTTTCTTTGGAGATTTATAAATTAGAGATGGGTCTAAGCCAAATACCTGGATCTTATAATACACAAACTTTGGACTTGTAATTCAGGCTCCATCATTATACTCTGGCTATTTGAGAAGTTTGACTAAAGGTCAAATTTAAAGAACAGGAATTCTAGTCTGGCTTTTGGCTGTGAGGACCTTTTGAAAGGCTCAGTGAAAGAAAGAAAGAAAAATTACTGCAGGGCATGACTAGGCAAGCACACAAACAGCCTGATCATGCAAAATGCTGAGCAATCCCTGAGAAATCAGAGCAGGCATGTCCAATTAACTCCACAATCTAGTAACAGGAGAGGGCTTGGACGCTCTTTCCTGCAGGAAGTAAAGTGGCTAAATCGGAGGCATTTTAGGCTTATTTTTGAATGACTAAAAAGAGAACATATTTCACTGTAGATAGTGTGTGCTCTCCTCAGAATAAGGTGAGAACCCTATTTTCTACAAAGTAATGACTGATTTAAGTTTTTATCCCCATATTGACAGCAGTTGCCAACACCCATGGAACCCACACTGAAGTAAATACCTGTAGTTGAGAACTTGCTGTTAACTGTTGCTGCAAATCTCAAAGATAATGTCTAGTGAAAACTGATTAAGATCCATGGGATGCTGTAGCAGACACTGTGTGACACACAATCTTTTTTAAGTCCTGTTCACTCAAGACCCTCCCCCCACATCCACTCTTGGTCTACCCTACCTACTAACAAGTCAAGCCAGTGTTCTCAAGTTGTCACTCAATATGTGGCTTACAAACCCGTGAAATGTTTTATAGTTAACTTAGAACAAAGGGAGAAGAAAGGAATTTTAACCTGGTAATTCTTCTACTCCAAATGTTGTGATACTAGCCCAAACCAATAGTTTCAGGTTTAAAGACAAGTAACCAATAATTTCAATATGTATCTAACAAAAACCCTATAATCTTGATGTTTTAATTCTCGATCCTTTCCAAAGGGAAAAAAGAAGGCTCATTCTACAAATGATTTGATCTGAAGATAAAAGCAGCCCTCTCTAAAATAATAACCAGGATTTCTAGACTAGCAGAATAAAATTTCAGGAAAAAATGTAAGTATTTACCTTTAACTAGTTATTTACAAAATTTAGACTTGACAAATCTCACTGTTCTATAAACTGTTCACTGAGAAGATGCAATAGCCCTGCACAAGGCTCAATGCATTTTCCTTCAAGTAAAAATTAGTTCACAGGTAGGAATAGAACTGTGAGTACAAAGTTAACACCTTTAACGTATACATTTTTTTTTGGCGGTATTAAAGTTCTTACTTCACAAGAACACCACATAAGCTATCAGCATCTTCAAAGCCCTGATTAAATCTGACTCAGGTCACCATTGTATCTGTTGATTTTTATTGTAGCAAACAAATAATAGAGAACAAATTATTCAACTTCCATAGCAAGTTGGCACCAATATAGATTAAAACTGGATTAAAAAACTGTTCCTAAAAGGATAAAACATTGAGTCTTTATTGTATCCAGAGCCCTAAGAGCATGAATTCAGAAATGCTTTCCTATAAAATACAGAATCTAACTCTTTATAATTCTTTTAAAAGATCTTTCCTTATTTAACAATTAAAGATGAGATATTCAAATATGTACTTTCTATTTCTGCTGTAGATAACAAACATCTATGAAGACAGAGATAGAGCCAAATAGTGGTGTGTTCGCTTTACCCGTGTGATTGGCTTCATTAAAACGAAGAGGAGCCTTCATGTGAATAAACTGAACAGAATTTGGCTATTTGCAAACTATAGACCCAATCTAGCAAATCCTCAAACATGAGCTGTCTCATTGATTTCAGTGGAATTACTCACAGGTGTAAAGTTAATATCTGCCGGATCAGGTCCTAGGATAGCTTTATCTATCTATCTTTTGGTAAAATTAAAATCCATACAAAATTTTAATGAACTTAATATTTATGTATAGGAAAACAAAATATAAATTACTAGTCATTATTAGCATTTTTTGAATTATCCAGATATTTTCCTAATGGGTTTCAGCACAGTTTTTTTCCTAGGAAAAAACCAGAATCAAGCAAAATGGGCTAAATATAAAAATCAAAGATATCTGCTGACAAAACTAACACAAAATAAGCATTTTGTAATTGCAATATGTTTAAAATAGGCCATTTATTTGTAATTGCAATATGTTTAAAATAAGCCATTTATTGTCCTATAAATCTTGATTTTTTTCATATATATGTAATACATAAAGCTACAAAATGGTGATTTAGACAACAGTTATCTTGGCAGCAATTGCTAAGGTAGATAACAGTCGCTTAGTGATTGCAGACATCCATATAATAACACAAGGATCTTATAACTGAGTGAACTAATCAATGTGAAGTTCAGATAATGCTTATAATGGTGAAGACAGAAAATAAAATGTCCCCTCATAGACTTCATTCTTCTAGGAATATCTGAGCCATCTTCTTGTCACCAAGCAGTGGGTAATATAAAGCAAAATGATGTGAGTAAGCTATAAATCTATACAAATATTATGTCGCAAACTGTGACATCAGAAAATAAATTATATATCTTGTGTATGTACCTCAGCTCATATTACTATTTAGATCCTTCGTCTAATGGAATCCAAACACATTTAAAATGGATTACTTGGAAGGTCTGAACAACAAAAATCATAGCCTCAAATGACTAAGAGGTTTAACAGTTTTTTAGCTCCCTCCTGTATTTAGTGTATTTCCCCACATTTCACTACTTAAGAGCTGTAATCAACAAAAAATAATTAGGTACTATGACTTTTACTCAGTGAAAGGCATAATACAAATTCCAACACCATCTCATTAGGTTTGCAATTCATTCACAGTTTCATTTTTTAGGATTGCAGTTCAGGCTTGTTCAAGTTCTACAAGGACTCCATCACAATCTTTAGGGTGAAGAAAAATCACTGGTTTGCCATGCGCCCCTATTTTCGGCTCTTCACTCAATATTCGGATCTTCTTTTCATGCAGTTCTGACATCGCTGCTTTTATGTCATCAACCTTATAAAATAAACATGATACAATTTGGAACATTACAGACTCTACAGTAGGAACAATAGCATGGTGCCCTAATAAAACACTATATAACTCTAAAAAACAAAAATGCTACAGAAATTTGGTTCTCTGTAAGGATGTAAAAGAGTAGTCGACTGTCAGATAATCCTAGGTTTATTGGGTAGTTGAATTGACCATTCACATTCCCCCAACTCCCCCCTCATCCTAGGTTTATTGGGTAGTTGAATTGACTATTCACATTCCCCCAACTCCCCTTCCCCCAACTTTCCTGCTCTATAATCAGAGACAGCAAGGTGAGTGGAGCAGGAGCTGGTGCTGGAGAGAATCGGTCTCCACGGTGCAGGAGTGAGCGTGCTGTGGCTCTGCCTTTTAAATGTAGTAAGAGCCACCCAGCTCTTACTACATTTAAAAATCAGAGTCACAGTGCGGTTAGTTCCTGGGGCCAGCATGAACCGGGACTGCTTAGTCCCAAGCTCATGCAACCCCCGGGAGCTAACCCCACACAATCAAATCAATAGCTGTAAGCTTCATATTGCTCCTAAATAGTAGATTGTATAGCTTTAGAATTTCATTAACCAAAGAATGTTTTCCAGCATAATTGAAGACAGAATCCTGACATTAAATGCTGAGGTTATATACCATCCACTTAAATTCATCTTCATCTTACCGAGTTAGGTTTGTATACATAGATCTCCTCAGGCACTTTGAACTACCTAGAATACTAGCTGATACTACACATTGGACTGCGGCCCATTTTCCTATCAAATAACTGTACTTCATTGTACAAGCAGGATGACACTTACAATTTCTGGGCAATCTAATAAAGAGTACTTAACATGGACCAGTCGTTAAGTTGTGCCAAGTGGTTTTACTTCGAATGTGATATAAAGCAAGACTTTGATTCACCCAGATCTTTAATGCATGTTTGCTAGAAGAACAAAATTAACACTTGGATTTAGCACAACTGCCAGTTAATAAAGTCCTGGCATTAGAATAACAGGACTGTTGTTCTTCAAGACTGAGGTGCTTGGACATAGCTAAACGAAGACGCTTAAAAGATATAATTGTGAAAACATACTTTACATAGACTAAATGCAGAGGAAGTAGAATCCAATTAAGTCCTCATCTTTTTCAATTGAGTTTTGTTTCTAAAAATCCTGAAGTTGCTTCAGTCATACTCACATACTGTTACATTTTTTAAAAAGCAAACTAGTAATGAAGGGTTCTTTAAAATTAGTACATGTAATAACATGCTGTGATGGATTGTAACCCCTTGAGGTTCATCTCCTAAGTAGAGAAATCATCACAGCTGCCTGCACATCCTGCAGAGATAGCTAGCTAAACCAGCCTGGAGAAATGTGCCTGGGCTCAGCTGGAGTGAATAACTGCATCCCAAGGGATAATAATAAGAGTTGGCTGTGAAGAGTCTCTGGGTGCATCTCTATTGGGAAAATATCGGCTTGCTGACTGTGTGCATCATGAACATGTTCCTCTGCTGTTCCACCTGGTGTCTAATACGCTTTCTGTAGCGGGTGTTAAGGTGTTCTGACCAGTATTTGCTAGTGGCTATTTATTTTCAACCCCACTTAAACGGTCGTCAACAATGATCATTTTTTCTAGGACAGACTAAGGTTGTTCGTTTTCATTTGAGCTTACATAGGAAACAGGCCATCCTAGTGGAAGTCTTAGAGCTATCAAAAGCCTTTATTGATGGTCTTATCTGACCTCTTTTGAATTCATATAGAGAAATTTTAGCACTAAAAGTCTCCTGACTTCATGTAGCAAATTCTAGATCTCAGAAGCTCTTCTCATCCATTTCATTTAAATTTTGACCCCTGGATTTTGTGGTTCTTGATTCACTTGATCCATTATACCTGACAATATGTATTTCTTTTTAACAAAGTATTTTTACATTTCCCTGAAATGGATGACTGAGTGTTAGATTTTTTTTATTTTTCAGACTGAACAGCATGCCGTCTTTTGACACTAATCTTTGGTAACTTCTGTACCATGCAAGGTCACAGATCTCTTGCTGAACAGAGCTCTACATGGAGTAACGTTAGTGCTGCTCATGCAGTGGGCAAAAGGGCCTCCGTGGGCCGGATCCAGCCCACCAAGCAGGTGGATCAGGCCTGCAGAGGCCCTGCTACTCCCCCGCCCCCAGGCCAACTAGGGTTAGGGTTGCCAGATGGTTTCAACAAAAATACTGGATACACTTGACATGACATCACAATCTACATTACATCTTTAGAAAATACCAGACATTTATATTTTCTCAATGCCAAGTCTAGACTGGCATGATATTCCGCAAATGCTTTTAACGGAAAAGTTTTCTGTTAAAAGCATTTGCGGAAAAGAGCGTCTAGATTGGCATGGACACTTTTAAACAAAAGCACTTTTTGCGGAAAAGCATCCGTGGCTAATCTAGATGCGCTTTTGCGCAAAAAAGCCCCGATCACCATTTTAACGATCGGGGCTTTTTTGCGCAAAACAAATCTGAGCTGTCTACATTGGCCCGTTTGCACAAAAGCTTTTGCGCAAAAGGACTTTTGCCCGAATGGGAGCAGCATAGTATTTCTGCAAGAAGCACTGATTTCTTACATGAGATAGTCAGTGCTCTTGCGGAAATTCAAGCGGCCAGTGTAGACAGCTGGCAAGTTTTTCCGCAAAAGCGCCTGCTTTTGTGGAAAAACTTGCCAGTCTAGACACAGCCAATATGTTTCCCAAACAGAAAGCTCAAATACTGGACTGTCCGGTTCAAAACCGGACAACTGGCAACCCTAATTAGGGCCTGGGGAGCACCTGAAGCCTTCTCCACTCTGCCCCCACCCTGTGAGCAGCGCGGCCAGAGCAGAGAAGGCTTTGCGCGCTCCCCGCCCTCAGGACTTAATTGGCTTGGGGGCAGAGGAGTGTGCAAAGCCTCCTCCCACCCTGCCAGGAGCACGTGGTGCTTTGAAGTGCCACACGCTGCTCACAGGGGGGTGGGAGGAAGGGGAGGGGGAGAGTGGAGGAGGAGCGCGTGGCACTTTGAAGTGCTGTGCGCTGCTCGCAGGGCGGGAAGAGGGGCTGTGGGGGAGGAGCAGAGGAGGCTTTGCACGCTCCCCTGCTCCCAAGCCAATCAGAGCCTGGGAGTGGGGGAGCTGTTTGAAGCTTCCTTTGCCCTGCCCTGGCCCTGCAAGGAGCCCACAGCACTTCAAAGTGCCATGTGCTCCTCGCAGGGTGGGAAGCGGCTTCCCGCGCTCCCTCACCCTATCATAGTTGGGGTAGCACCGCCCCTTCCTGTTTAGGCCACGCCCCTTCCGGGTAGCCTGGAGCTATTTCAGAAATACATTGCCCACCCCTGTGCTAATACTTACTGAAGTATCTTTGAAGCAAACAACATTCAAATTCAGGGGTGGGTAATAATGTTTAATGGGGGGCCAGTCCAAGAATTTGGAAAGTGGTCAAGGGCCATGCTCTTCCACGGTATTAATGGAGGAGGTGTGAGGTCTGGGATGGAGGTTGGATGCAGAAAGGAGTTTGGGTGAAGGAGGCAGTTGTGACCTAGAGCACTGGACTGGAGTGTAGGTGGTTGGATTGTCACCTAGGGCAGAGAATTGGAGTACAGGTGGGAGTGCAGGGATTTGGGTTGTGAGCTAGGGCAGGAGGGGACTGGGCTGCTGGATCTGGGAGGGGATATGGGTATGGGGGGGCAGATTTGGGTATGTGCAGTGGGGGGCAGAAGGCTGGGGAAGGGAGGGACTGAGGTACCAGAGGCAAGCTCTGGCCTGGAAACTTATCAGCCAGCAGCCGTTCCTGAATCAGCCTCCCTGCCCGCCCCACTCCCACACAGGCTGCAGCCCATGTATTCTGGAGCCCCTTGTGCTTCGTGGCTGCCTGTTATTGAAATAGGCAGCTCCCATTGGCCAGTTTCTGGCCAGAAACTGGCCAATGGGATTGTGCTGGGTGTGAAAGCATCTCCTAAAGCTTTCCCCCTCCCCTCTGGACTCACAGTTTTTAAAGAAAATCCGCCCTGCAGCCACGTTTCTGAGCGGTATGCAGGTGGGGAGATGCAAGCAGAGAGCCTGCCTGGGGTTCCCTGCAGCATTCGTGGGCTGGATCTGGTGGCTTGATGGGCCATATTTTGCCCAGGCCTGCTCCAATTCCTACAAAATGTAAGTACATGTAGTTTTTTAAAAGATTCCTAGTTTGCTTCTTTGCTCTTTGCTTCTGTAATTAAGTAGTGTTACCATTTCTATTACTTAGCACTTTGTTTGTTTGTTTTTTAAACAGCCCTTATCACATATTATTCCTTTCTTCCCCACCTCCACTTCCTGGCTGCTGCTGTAGTCTTTCACGTTCCCCTAAAAGCACTGCATGGCAATTCTGGTTAACAGTAATTTGAGCAGAATGAATTAGTCTTTTAATTTAAATTTCTTGAACAACTGCAAATAGATACTATAGTTAAAAGATATAAACACTCTGATCTGCTGAATTTGAATGCAGTTGCTGATTCACTAAAACAGAATTTATAAAGAGAACAGTAGCCATCTCTGATTTATTATCCATTTTATACATGTGCTTACATTTTATTTCAAGGGGACTAGTCAGGGTATTAAATAAGCACACGCAAGGGCTTGTGTACACTTAAAACATTGCAACAGCACAATTGTGCTGCAGTAGTGCTTCTGTGAAGACACTACAGGTTGAACCTCCTTGGTCAGGCACACTTGGAATTTGCTGGACCAGAGGAGGTCAATGCTGACTCCAACCAAATCTCCTAGTATAGGCAAAGCCTTGATCTTTACAGGATAAGGGTTTAAGTATTCCCTTCCCTCCTCTTGATTTGGGAAATGGAAGGGAGGGATAATTATCCCTCTCTAAAACACAGCTATAGATGGAAAGTTATTCCAGTGGGGAAAAGTCTACAGTTCTTGAAAAGGTGTTGTATTTTTCTGACAGTGGTAGATCATAATTGAATGCAGCAAAAATGCATCTCCTTCAAAAAGACAATTAATGAAGGAACTGGAGAAGAGAACTGTAATAAAATCGCAGTTTTTGTCCCATTTTTCCCCACAGTCATGACTGATATAGTGTATCATCATCAGTATTGTTAAACAGAATAGGCATAGTCATGCACTGCCACAAATGGCCAAATCCTTTCTCCCCTCCACCTTTCGTTGTGTTTGGTTCTATTTTTTCTAAGTCTTTAATTAAAAGGATTTTTTTTAAGTAACTTATTTACTACTGCAGAAAGACACCACTATGATTCACTGCTTTAGCAAGGCTCTAAACTATTGAGCCATTCAACTAAAATAAATGCAGTCCAGGAAGTCTATGCTAACATGACACACAAAACAAAAATCTATACTTGCCTATAGCCAACATAAAAACATTCCACCTTAGGAGTTAAAGCAGCGGGTCTGTAGCCAAGACTCTTGTGTTCTATTCCCTCCTCTACCCATGACTTACTATGATGTCTAGAACAACTAATTTAAATTCACTATGATTCATTTGATGCCTTTATAAATGGGAATGTCTCAGGATTTTTCATTAGTGAAATGTTTTGAGTTCCTTCTGTGAAAGATTGATACAAGTGCAACTATTAATATGCAACATTTCCCCCTAGCCTGTCAACTTAGTGCTGACCTATAGTCCTTCTGCTATTCCAACAGATAAGGAAAACAAACTCCCACATTTGACTATCTCATAAACAGCCAACTGTAGTCTTTTCTCTATATATGACAGTTTCCAATTCATATGTAAGAACATTCAAATTAATGAAGGCTTTTTGTTGTAATCTTCACTTGCATCTGTTCTACAGTCAATGACAAATTTCCATAGCAACTGAAAATGGTGGAGTTTCCATCTAAGGACTCAACTGTACTTTTGAGTGTTACTTGTTAATACCAAACCACTATCTTCAAGATTTAATTTCTTCTGTTCAGTTTCAATTAAACAATATTCACAGTAGGGATGTAAAATCCAGTTTAATTAGTTAACTAGTTATACGTTAAGTTTAACCAGTTAACTGATTAAATGGGGATGGGCAGGCGGGAGCAGCCCCTGCATCACTAGCTGGGATTGCTCCAGCCCAGCTGCTTTTATTCCGGTGCTGGGCTGCCAGCTCCCAACCCGTGTGAACTGGGAGTCCGTAGCCTCTCACAGGATTCGGAATCAACAGTTCCTCCCCTCTCCTCCAAACTCCAGATTCCGCTTCCAGCCCTGCATGAGGATGCCGATTCCCAGCCCGTTCAAGGCTAGAGCAGCTGCCTCTCCGGGAGTAACCGTTGACCTGATAAAGTAATTGAGGACAATATATAATACAGTTATCACGATATACACTTAGTTGTGTTGGTAACTTTTAACTGATTCTTTTCTGCAAAGTATTTTTAAAAACAAACAACCCACACACACACAACAAAAGAAACACCACCTTGCTGTAGTTCTACTCACTATGAATATATGGAGTCATCTTGATTACCTGGAAAAAAGATTTTACTACTCTCAGCTCCAGGAGCCAACACATCTCTGCGTGTTTGCCCAGGATTCTTTTATGACTTGCATAATGAATTTCCAACTAAATATCAAATGCCAATACCCTGGTAAAACCCCATGTCTTAAAATTCTGTGCCAATTTATACTTGTGCACCCCAATTATAAGTTATATATAAAAAAGTGACATACACAGGTTTTTCTAGGGCACCTATTTTGAGGATCCTGGAGCTTCCATCTGTTTAGCGACCTTCCAGGAGATCGCTACATTCTATGAATTTATCCTGCCTAAAAGAAATGGGGACATTCCAAGTGACAAATTCAGTTTCGACAGATGAAAAAGAAAAACAAACCTGCTTGTATAATGACAATGTGAAACTGGCCTGAATTTTATCACTGAAACTTTTTAGTCATTGGTCTTCAGTAGCAATTCCCAAATAATAATGACTCAGCAAACCAATGTGGTTTATTTTTCAGGATGAGTCTATTAGAAAATATGAAGTTATTTAACAAGATACAGATTTGTAATAGACAGTACGTGTGTATAATACCTCAATGCAGATATGATGCATTCCTCCAGCTTTGTTTTTTTGCAGAAAACCTGCAATTGGACTTTTCTCTCCTAGAGGGTGCAGCAGCTCCAGCTTTGTATTTCCCAGCTCCACAAAAACAGTGTAGACACCATGTTCAGGAAGAGGAACTGTTTCACTCACTTGGGCTCCTAAAACATTCTTGTAAAAAGACTGAGCCTTCTCCAAATCAGGAACTGCAATTGCTACATGATTGAGTCGCCCCAGTTTCCATAAAGAGCATAGAACTTTTTGAGTCAAGGAATGAGACATAGATAAAGCCCGTACAGTGGGTGCTGTAGTTTGCAATCTGGTAAGAAGTCCTGTAAAATTGAATGACATTGTCATAATCCTTTCGGAAAAAAAATAATGCAGGTCCTTCCCCCTTTAAATGAAACCCAAATAGCTCCTATGTCATTATACTTATGAATTATGTTTCACCAGTATGCTAAAAGCAGAGATAAGAAGATAGCAGGGAAGCATTTCCTCTTTCAGTTCAATAGCTTTTTGTTTGTTCTGAAGCAAATTAATTCAGGGAAGTAAATGAAAAATTTATAGCCTGAATGCTCAGAAGTGTCCATTACAGATAAAACTAATAGATATGTAAAGTTAATTTTAAGCTTGAGTTGAGTTTGGTATGAAAATAAAGATCTTCATAATCATATGCACAAGTTTATAGAATTTAAAGGCCAGCTACACACAGCTAACCTTTACATTATTTCTGTATTATTCAGAGCTTCACTTTGAATAAAACAGAAATAGAAATGAGGATTTAAAAAAAAACCTGTCAAAACATAATGCAAAACTATTATATTTATTCCTAAAGCCTAAATCCTAATACTGTACAAAGGTGACAAATTGTTGCCTCCCGGTGGAGGGAGATGCGATCAAGTTGTTAAATCACAAGAATGGGAGCCACTTACTCCCAAGTTTATTCCATCCCTCCAAACCTCTGCCATGCCTCTTCTGCCAAAGGCCTTACCCTCCACTCCTGGTTTGCACCTCTTCCTCCTCTCTGACTTCAGTGTAACTACTTCTGTGAGCAACTGAGCAAAATTTGGCTCAGAATATATGCATAAGGTCTGCCTACTTGTTTTTCCCTTTGATATTTTCATACTCTCTGCTCCTTGTTTCCTGCCCCCTTCCTTTTTTCCCCTTCCCCACTTTCCCTTATTTATTTTGGGTCTGCACATCCTAAACTCAAAACTCCAATCATCTGAAGAAGTGGGCTGTACCCACGAGTGCTCACGATCCCATCTACACGTTTTGTTAGTCTATAAAGTGCTACCAGACCATTTGTCGTTTTTTTAAGTTTATTAAAAATATGGTCACCCGATGCTACATCCATGCTGAAATGGGTAAATAAGATGTGAGACAATTTAGTCATGGAATGGTTCAGTGGCATGAGAAACAGTATGGAAAATTATGAGCTTCTGGATTTCTCTGAGGAGGCACCTGTTGAACTTTAACCTACTTCTGTGGATTTCTCTCCACTTGTATTTAACATTGGTCAGTGAAATAATCATTTTACACACATGTCCTTCCAATTCTTGCCATTATGATTTTTCCTGAAGTCAGAGGAACTATTTGCATCAATAGAGTAAACAAGATTTGGCCCTAATTAATGCTTTGAGATGGAATGCCCTTAAAATGGCTAAGAAGGAGATAGGATGGTCAGGTGTCCAGTTTTCACCTGGAAGGTCTAATCAGATCTACTGACAAGACACCCGGGCTACTTCTACACTTCAGACTTCTTGTGCAAGAACTGTTTTACACAAGAGTTCTTGTGCAAGAGTGCATCCACACTGCCACGTGCTTTTGCGCAAGAGCGTCCATGGCAGTGTGGATGCTCTCTTGCGCAAGAAAGCTCTAATGGCCATTTTAGCCATAGGAGTTTCTTGCGCAAAAAATTCTTGTGGCCTGTCCACACTGCCTTTTTGCGCAAGAGCTCTTATGCAAAAAGGCTTATTCCTCATGGGGAGAGGAATAACTCTTCCGCAAGAAGCCCTCTTTTCCGACACTGTACTGTAAATTTACTTGTGCAAGAACACACGTGCAGTGTTGACGCTCTGCAAGTTTTTGTGCAAGAACACCTGTTCTTGCGCAAAAAGCCTGTAGTGTAGACGTAGCTCCAAAGTCTGGTTACTATCAACCAATTGCACTAAGAACTAGAAGAGCTCAGAGTTAAAACCTGGGATGCATTAGAGTCTTAGAGAAGGAAGGATCTCATAATTAGGAACAGTGATTTGCTATAGTGGCTTATCAATTTTGACATTTCTCTGGGTTGTGGTTTATTTTGGGATGAGGGACAGAGAAGTTCTGTAAGTTTGCACAGCTTGTTTAAAAGACACCTGTACAACTATGCTGTTTCTGCTGCCTTTGCAGAGAATCAGGTCTGCAGTAAGGATGTTAAGAAGCAAGTAATTGACTAATTGTGTACAATTTGTATTGAGCACACAAGTAGTCAATAAGGGGTCCCGCTGACACCGGCATGCAGGCAGCTCAGCTCCTACTTCATTTAAACTGCAGAGCCGTAGTGGAGGCAGGTCCAGGACCCTGGCGTGAGCAGGGATTCAGCAGTTCCAGCTTGCACCAGCTCCCCCACTGCAGCTCTGCCTTTTAAACATACTAAGAGCCACGGCTCTTACTACATTTAAAAGGCACAGCCACAGCAGGGATAGGTCTGGGACCCAACACCTCTGCCTCCCCTGCTCCCCCACCCCACACTGGGAAGATGGTGCTGTGAGGAACCAGCTTTTAAGCCAGCTCCTGCTCTCCCCCCTTGCTGCCTCTGATACCGTATGTGGGGGGAGGAGGGGAAGGCGAGTAGTCAAGCAGTGACTCAACTAGTCGCTTACACCCCTAATCTGCAGTGAAGAATAAGAGGTATTGAAGTATATTTACAAAGGTGATTTACAGGAATTAATTATTGTTGTAACTCAAATCATCAGGTCTGTGAGATACTCAGCTTAGTCATGCAAGGCCTTAGGCCTGAAACAAATTTACATGACTAGTTGAGAAAGATAAACCAGTACCACTTAAGTGAAAAAGTTGCAGTAAAATATGTTAAATGTTTATGTTCTGAAAACTACATAGCAATAGACTGGAAACTATGGCACCATGTACTAGTTAATACCACAAGATGTATGTTTTAGGGGATTCTGTATTAACCTCAAATTGCTGATACGTAGATATTAATAAGAATAAGGGGCACCGCTAAATTAATGGCATGTGGAAGTATGGATAAAGACGAAGGGGTTGGTACCCTTATGCATATCTATGAGCGTTAGCAGCCACAAGCATACCTCAAGATAAAAAGTTGTTGTCTGGTCTGTGCGCTGGGGTGAAAGTGGGAAAACACAGGGGGGAGACACCAGAATGACAAACATGGGTGATGAGGACAATGACGTTAACTAGGATTGGGGTGACTGATGGGGAACAACATTGGGGAGGCCCATGGGGCATGTGACTCCTCCCTGTGCAATCCTGAGCACCCCCCCGCTGTCCTGCCTCTGCCCAGCCTCTTCATGCAAGCCCCCACCCCTAAGTGATGCAACCTGATGGACTAATGGGGGCCTGGCACCTGCAGCAGGGGTCAGTACACCCTGCACTCACTGGCATCAGCAGGTGGAAGTGGAATGATGTATCCCTAGCCCGCTCTCCTCCTCTGGCTCCTGGTCACATTGCTCCATGTCCCACTAGGGATGTAAGCAACTAGTCAACTACCTGATAAGCCTATTCTTAGGGGGGCCAGGGGAGACAGAGGTGCAGTGGTCTGGGGCCTTGTGCAAGCGGAGACTGCTGAGTCCTGGACCTACCCCTGCTGTGGCTCTGCAGTTTAAATGCAGCAGGAGCCAGGCTGCCTGTGCACCTGTTTAAATGTAGCAGGAGCCAGGCTGCCTGTGCACCCGAATCCTACTATATTTAAACTGCAGAGCTGCAGTAGGGTCCCCAATACAAATTGTATTGAGTACACAATTAGTCAGTAACCCACTTCTTAACATCCTTACTTCCTACCAGCGAGTGGGGCAGTTGCTTGAGTGACACAGCCAGCAGTCAGGGGAGCAGGGCCTGGGTGGGCACTGTTCTAGCCAGGCCAGGCTAGGCAGGGGGGCCCTGGGCTGGAGCAGCCCTCTCTACCCTCTCCTTTTTAAGTGGTTAACTGGATAAAGGTTTAACCACTTAACTGATTAAGCAGGACTTTACATCCTTACATCAGCCTACCCCCAGCTGGTTCCCTCCTCTCCCATGAGGCTCTAGCCCTGTGCCCCTCCCACCCATGGCACTGGGGGAGGGAGTCACATGGCCCCTTACCCCCCTCTCACAATGATGAGATGTGAGTGATTCCGGTCCTAAGGCTTACTGCTGTCTTTCTAGCTGCTCTTGTATTTCAGGGTTGGTGGGATTGTTTATCCTCTTAGTGGATTTATCAATAAAGTGATTTGTGATAAATTACAATTGTTTCGTGGGTGCCTCTAGACAGGACTGTCCCTCTCAACTGCAGGGCCCGGGACAAATCAACCTATGTTTCTAATCTGTCAGGAGGTGCTCCCCACGCGCTTTGCCCAGGTCCCTGCCCTGCTTCTTTCTGCCCCCATCTTGCCTTTTCCCACCCAGTTCCACGGACCCCCTGCATGCTTTTCCCTCATTCCAGTCCCTCCAGTACCTCCTGACATCATGAAACAGCTGATTCATGGCAGATAGTAGATGCTGCGAGTGGGAGAGGCACAGATTTGCAAAGCCCTTATAGCACAGGGCCCAGAGTGGTTGCCTCAATTTGCTGTACCCAAGGGACTGCTCTGTTTCTACCTCTCTTATTCAAATGATACTGACGAATATTCCTGACACTGGAGCCCTCGGAAGCCTGAACCTTTATTGACCACTGCAGTCTAAGAGATTATTAATTGATTAATCAATTTCAATCTCCCATCCATACAAAGGCTCCACATTAGAGAGTAATACTGAAGAACTGTGCAGGGAAAGTGATTCGGTAAATATCTAGGCCTGGATTCTGCACTATAGAAATCTACAGGAGATCTGTCCTGAAGTGATTCTGCAAGGAGCTCCAAGGGAATAACATTGTGCACCTATTAAAGACAAGAGAGCTCTATGCAGAGATCTACCATGCAAAGCAACTTGGAAGGACTAGAATCTAGAACCTCAGCACTCCACAGCCAGGCACTTTGAATGCCTAGGACCAAAACAAACATAAATTAGAGCATTTAAATTACTGAAAAACTCGTCTCTCACAAAATAATACATCCTCATCTGTCAATGTCAATAGCTTTTTGCATGGACCGTTAAAGACTGGGACCCTCAGTCACGGAAGCTAAGTGCCTTAGCAAAGGTGAGGGAGTCCCAGGGCTGGAGGAGACCTCAGGAGGCCATGGAGCCCAGCCCCCTGCCCAAGGCAGGACCCGCTAACCGGATGACCCCCGCCAGGGCACTGTCAGCCTCCGGGGACGGGAATCACGGCGGAATAA